GAGTTGAACGTCCGAATTCACGTGATGCTTAACTTGCATTATTTCGACATCAATTTCACCTGACTTAGGATATTCCGCGAATGAAGCCGTGTTTGACGTTGCGAAATCCTCAAGTTCATTGCCTTGATTTTGCTCGAACATTCGACTGAATGTGTAATATTTAATTTATAAATTTACTTTAAAACACAACACTCTAATATATCACGAAGTGTGCGATCAACCATTTCCAGAGCATGTCTAGGTGCCATCGGTGCTTCATCCCAGATGAACATTTTCATGCTCCTTAGATACTCCGCTTCAGTTGACTGAGCCTTAATAGTTGGTGATGAATCTGTGTAAATTGCAATCGGAAGTTTAAATGCCCTACGTACCGTTTTTCCATAAGGGAGTAGAGTTGCAGCAATACCTGTAAATGCCATATTACATATTTTGATACTTTTACTTTGTAGCAAATGATATATGGTCGTGTACACGAATGTTTTACCTGACCCACCTGGTCCATCAATGAAAAAACATCGTTCCTCCTGATCATTCTCATTATTCAATGCCTCCAAAATAGGTCAACAGTACATTTCTGTTGATGATTCAATTTCTGATACTGTTCTGTACCAATCTCCTTATGTTCTTGAGACAGCATATCATCTTCGACATCAACTGTTTCTGTAACTAGGTGGAACGCGCGCTTCGCGCGCCCTTGCTAGGTTGCATGGAGTTGCACATGTCGTCACATTCAAAATTTCGATATTTTGCATTTAAATTTTTAATTCCGAATGAACATGTTTTTTGTTAATATTTATTTTCACATTTTCATTTTTGACATGATTAGAATTATTTTTCTGAAATTTCTGATACAACAATTATTAATTTTCGGTCTTTTCTCATTTCTCAAGGGAAGTATGATTCAATTAATTTAGCTAAGATATCGGGTAAGTAATATTCTTATTTTTCTGTTAATATACGAATACATATTTTTCCGTTAATACATAGTTGTCTATATCTCTTTTTTATATAACTAAAGTGATCGCTACTGTATTTCTCTTTTCCCCCCCGTATCAACCGTTTGTCCAAAAATTTCTAATTCGTTTCATCATTTTTTTCATTGTTCGTCATTACTATAACATAATTATATTGATATCTTTAGATAAAAAACTTTTTAGTGTTCTATAGAATTGAATAAAGAAAAACTAAATTCATGTCCATTAGTTTTTTTTCTCAACTGTCATTTATTTCATAAACAAAGATAGCCTTAAACCGTATTCTGTGCTATCATTCAATTTCATTCAATATCTGATAATTGAATCTTATTACATTAATATTATTACTACATTGATACTTCAATCATGTGACGTGCTTCAAGTTCTTGTTCCTTGGAATCTCCAGGAGATGAATCTACTCTTCCTGCAGTGATTGCTGATAGTGATAATTCTTTCGATTCCAATTTTTTGACTGATTATGAATTACTGACGGCATCACATTACTTACATAGTATTTCACCATTTACCACTAAGTTGGTGTAAGTATTTTAATCATTTATTAATTTGACCACATTCAGCTTTATTTCTTGTATTTCAAGATTTATTTTTTTCGATTTTCATATACTTCTCAGTGAAATCATTGGAATCGTTCAACTTGTGAAAGGAGCAGAAAGTGTCACATGCAAAAACGGTACCGTCAATAAAGTTTGTCCATTTTATGTCCATAATAACGACGGCGAAACTATTCAATGCGTGATGTGGGGAGACACAATTGATAAATTCATTGATAAGCTTCTGGTTCAACATGTAAGTTCATACATCAATTCAGTATGGAACTGGTTAACCACCCTGTCACAATTTTTCTTCCTGTTGAGTTCTCATAAGATATTTCGAAATCTAAAAGGGATTGAAAATTATTGTTACCATCTTTTTTTGTAAAGAGGGAAAGCATTTACAAAAAATTTGTCATTAAAGGCTCGCCAATTCCGTTAGTATCCGACATCTTGTTGAAAAACTTATTAAACAGCCAACCTAACTTGATTATCCACTTCATTACTGAATTATTCATGTAATCATTTCATACGTATAATTTTTTTTGTTTAAAATTTCTTGTTATATATTCACTTCACTTTATGCTTCTTTTGTCAGCAATAGGACAATTCCATTTTCAACATTACATGAATTCTTTATACTTCTTTTCTTCCTTGTAAAAACTTTTATGCATAAACATTTTATGTTTTTGAAGGTCATCCACATCGATGGGGCATTTCCTAAGCAGGTAAAAGAAAACTTTAATTCAGGAACGACCCCATATGAATTGGTTATCCAATCCAACACGCTTATTACGGATCTGGGAAAATTGAAGAGTTCTCCGCCTTTACAAACTGCTCCTGAAATTGTCCCTCTAATTGAAGTTTCAAAGCATAGGAAAATCATTAGTATACTTATTACATTTTTCATTTAATAGTTGTTTGAGTACCTCGCTTATTTTATCGCTTCACTTGGTTAAATCATTGTTCAACCATGCATTACTTTTGTTATTTTATTATATTTAAGTTCTTTTCATTTCAACTTCGATTTGAGACACATATTCTTAATTTTCACTGAACCTTCACGAATTTCACTTCAACGAAAATTACATTTTTTCCTCATCATTTTTTTTTTCGTAAAATACTCATTTTTAACTGAATTTTGTTTAATTTACATTTTGATATATTTGATCGAACCTTCTTTAGGGCATCACTTCTTCAACAATATATCAAAATATACTTTCAAATCATATTTACCTAATTAACTTAAATGCAAATTAAATTTTGATGAACTTGACGGATGTTCGTCGTATACCTCCAATGTATATCGCATTATTGCGATGTTTTTTTTTTGTAAACAAAATGTTAAATACATTTTATTATTCTAACACTACTATTTTCCCTTCAAATAGATTTTTTTTATATAACATTTCAATTTTGTAATGTTTATCTCATTTTTATTCTTATTCCAGTAGTCAGTGGCTTCGTTAAAACAGTTTGGGCCGTAATTGAAAAGCAGACTGACAGCACTGGAAACACCTGTTACGGTTCAATTGCAGCTGACAAATACTTTTTGGACGTGAAAATCTCAGATTATCCAATTATTCTTGTCCATTTACTAAAGGGCAGCATGTTCAATGTGTGGGATCTGTTGTCAGAACTGGTATTTTTCCCACGAACACTCCACTCATCACTTTTAATGTTATTTTTCATTTATTCCAATTCCTTTTGTAATTTATCAATAATAGTTTATTTTATGTATAGGAAACTCTTTTTTTTTTCTGCGTTCAAGGGCCAGATTGCATAACTTTAGTTGATTCTGTGGTGGCATCCCTTAAAGATTTACTTCTGTGCAAGCCACTTATGGTCCTCCATGATAGTTCAGATGCTACCGCATCCAAGAAGTTAAAGATGAATCAAATTCTTCCCAAAACACTCAAAAAAAAAGTATTTTTTGTCTCATATTATTCTCTGTATTCAGTATTTTACCCCCATATATTTCTATATTTTTTCTCTGTTTTGTTACAGAACTAAAATATCTCAATCAGCATTCAATCCCATTGAATTTCTCACACGGATTTCGTTGACTAATTCGTTATTACTTGTTTAATCGTTCAAAGCTATTGTGACCTTGGCCGGGGAATTAAAATATAATAATTTCCGGCGAAGGCACGATATTGGGGAATTACTGATATCCTGAAAAATTAGGGGAATTTAAGATAACTTACGGGAGGACCTGAAAGAATAAGAGGGAGGGGGGGTTCTCAATAATTACTCGGGGTGATTTATAACTTAACACTCTGTATTCTGGTCTCATAACAAAATATTAACATGAAAAATAATCCGGGCC